CACTACTTGACAAAGGGAATGATCCCCTTCACAAGGCGACAAGGCAGCTTGAGGACGAAACCAGTCACCTCGCACCACATCAGCAGCATGCCCCCACGTGGGCGCACATGGTCCTGTCCCCTTAGCCTAGTATAAATACTCATGAAAACCTCAGAAAGAGGGATCCGAATTCACTCTCTCTGAACTTCCTTGTAAAAGCACCCGTGCATTCCCCGTTATAAGATAGATTGGGCTACAGGTGTTCCCACCTAAAGTCCTCCCGGTCAATCTACGAGTTTTTATCTTTCTTACTTTGCCAAATCAAGCAAACTATTCTAGACCCGGTCTAGTATAGTTTGACCGGTCAAGTAATTTACACCATCATTTTTGGCGCCACCCGTGGGACCGTTAAGGTTTCTTCTTCTAAACACAAACCTACCCACCAAAACACCACTCGAAATGTCTTCCAGCCAACAAATCAATGCTACTTCCGCTCAGGTGCAGACCACCAACGAGGGTGCCAGCATCCCCGTGGCTGCTACCATACCGGTCATTTCAGCCCCGGTGCTGCCTCTGGGCCAGAACTCTGTCCCGACGGCCAGCGTGATCAGTCCCTTCGCGACCCCCATGCCTTCCGCTGGACCAAGGGTCACATTCCCACCAAGCATGGCTCAGTTCATGAACGACCCAGCCAACCTACAACCCATCCAGGGCTTTGGCCAGGTCATGGCCATGTGCCAACAAAACGGGGGGGATGCCTTTCCTCCCTGGTATGTTCCCATTCGCCCTTCCAGGCGCGGGGACCATGCCCCTACAAGCCCCGATGGCGGTAGCGTCATTCCAGACGCCGATGCCGCAACCATCGCCTTTCCAACCCCAGTTAGTCAGCGCCATGGCCCCTGTCAACTTGGCCGGTGCACTAAACGCTGCGGGGCCATCGCGTCCCCCGCAAACTACGCAAATCACTCCTCACGGTCATTGCGTCTCGATTGAGAGTGATGACGGCGAGTGGGACGTCCCGAGGGCCCACAAGAAGAAGAAAGGAAAGAACATCCGGCCAGCGACCTCCCGAAACTCCGCCTTCGAAAGGCTGGGGGATAGGGAGGAAGGCCAGAGGAAGTCGGCCAAGCAGAGGCTGGGGCAGAGCGTTGCCCATGTCAGCGCATTCGCCAGGCTAGGCGAGGTGCGGGAGGCCGAGCCTGCCCGCACCCGGCGCCCCCGGTCTAACCGGCAGGAGCCAGCGAGGACGAGGGCCTCCCACCAAGAGGGGGAGGCAGAGAGCCAGCCCAGGTTACCGGTGACGAACCGGTTAACCATCCCAAACGACCGCGTGCAGCAGATGGAGGCAAAGCTGGAGAAGCTGGAAAAGAAGGTCGGGGAGAAGAATGACCGGGATAAACCCCTGGCAGGGTCCCCGTTTACCACAAGGGTCCATCTAACACCTTTCCCGCGAAAGGTCAAGATCGACGCCCCCAGATTCACCGGGAAGGAAGATCCGGAGATCCACCTGGACTCCTTCAACCAGAGTGCGACCATGAACGGTTGCACCGATGAAGAAAAGTGCCTACTTTTCTTCCAGACCTTGCGGAACCGAGCCACTGAGTGGTTCAATAAGCTTCGCCCGGGAAGCATTGATTCGTTCAGTGATTTGGCATCAAAATTCAAGGCCAAGTTCTAGGAGAATTGTACTAAGAGGAAGAAGTTCACCTATCTTAGTACAGCCGGGCAGAGGGAGTGTGAGAACCTCACTCAGTTCCTTACCCGGTGGAAGGAAGAGGTAGACAAGGTGGAAGAGATGGACGACAAGACCGTCCTCTCCCTCCTCCTGAATGGCTTGCGTGCTGGGGAACTATACAAGGAGTTCTGCCGGAAACCCCCAGCCACGTACCAAGAGGCCTACCATACTGCATGGGAGTTTGCTGAAGCTGAAGCCCAGCTCCGGGCAAAGAAAGAAGCTGAGCATGGTCACAAGCCCAAGCCGGTGCAAGTCAAGAAGGAAGAAGCACCGGGACCTAGCCGGCCGAGGCACCACTATGACCCGGTCATCCGAGTGGTCAATACAGAAGAATGCCAAGAAGTCCGGAAGGCACCGGTCATTCCTCCAGAAAACCCTACCGGTCAAGTAGGGCGGCAGTGGTCGGGGACCTATTGTTCGTACCACAGAACTGATTCCCATAACACCTCCGAATGCAAAAGTGTTAAAGGGGTCATCCGGCAGATGATCGACAGTGGAGAGCTGGGCAAAGATTACTTGCAGAAAGCCCAGGAGAAGAGTCATCAGTGGGTTAGGCCAAGTACCCCGGGGAATGACCGGGACAATGACCGGCGGAGGAATAATCGGCCAAGGGAGCGGCAACCTGCCCCCGAAAAAGAACACATCGGCATGATCTTCGGCGGACCCGAGGGTGGAGATTCAGCCGCGCAGCGGAAGAACTGGGTCCGGAGCATTTACGTGGGAGAAGTAAGTGCCGAACCGCCCAAGCGTAAGCATACTAGGAGGGAGCCCATCGTCTTTACTGACCGGGATCTCCCTCCTACCGGTGAAGATCACAATGATCCATTGGTCATCACCATGGACATTAACGGGGTGGATGTCGCCCGGGTACTTGTTGACACCGGCAGCAGTGTCAACATCTTGTACCTGGAGACCTTCCAAAAGCTCAGGTTGTGTCGAACGCAACTTGAACCCCTCAAAACCCCCCTCTCTGGCTTCACGGGGGACACCGTTGAAGCTGAAGGATTCATAGTTCTACCGGTCGAACTAGGGTCAGGTGAAAAGACCGTGTGGAAGAAGATGCGGTTCATAGTGGTGGACATCAAATGCGTCCACAACGCAATTCTAGGAAGGCCAGGCATCAATAAAGTCGGGGCGGTGATTTCTATGCCTCACCTGTGCATGAAGTTCCACACACCTGGCGGTGTGGGTGAGGTGAAGGGCGACCAGAGGAACGCCAGGGAGTGCTATGCCCGGGCAGTCAAGAAAATGACCAGAGGGGTCAATGTCATCTCCCAGGAGATCACAAAGGGAGAGACCCGGGAAAAGCTGGAACCCGAAGCGGAGACGGTGGAAGTCGAACTTCACCCGGGCGATTCTTCGAGGATGGTCAGAATTGGAGCAAATCTCCCCGAAGATCTCAAGGAGCAGATTACACGGGTCCTCCGAGAATACGCGGGCATATTCGCATGGAGCGTGGCGGATATGCCCGGGATAGATCGCTCTGTTATTTGCCACCGGTTGGCCGTGAGGGAGGGAAGTCGACCGGTACGCCAAAAAAAGCGGTACCTGGCCAGTGACCGGCGAGACTTCGTCAAAAAGGAAGTGAAAGATCTCCTCGGTGTTGGTCACATCCGGGAGGTCAAGTACCCGGATTGGCTGGCCAACGTTGTCCTTGCTCCCAAGGGCGACACGTGGAGGATGTGTGTGGATTATACGGACTTGAACAAGGCTTGTCCGATGGATTCATACCCCCTCCCCAGTCCGGATCAAATGGTGGACAAAACTGCGGGGTGCGAACTCCTAAGTTTCATGGACGCCTTCAAGGGTTACCACCAAATCTACATGGCCAAGGAAGATGAAGAGAAGACGTCATTCCTCACACCCAAAGGAACCTACTGTTACCGGGTAATGGCGTTTGGCTTAAAAAACTCAGGGGCAACCTACCAGCGCATGGTGAACAAGCTCTTCAAGCCACTACTGGGAAATACCATGGAGGCATATGTCGACGACATGCTGATCAAGAGCCAGGTATCACTGAACCACCCGGCTGACATGCGAGCCACGTTTGATATCATGGCAAGGTACAACCTCCGACTGAATCCTAAGAAATGCGTCTTTGCGGTTCGTACCGGGAAGTTCTTGGGATTCATGGTGACCAAGAGAGGGATAGAGCCCAACCCAGAGAAAATCCGGGCTATCACTGAAATGCAAGCGCCTACCTCTGTTAGGGATGTTCAAAAGTTGACCGGTCGTTTAGCGGCCCTCAGCCGGTTCCTTTCCCGGTCAGCTGAGAGATCTCTGCCCTTCTTCAAAGTTCTGAAGAAGGCCAACGCATTTGCAAGGGACGAAGAATGCCGGAGGGCATTCGAGGAGCTGAAAGAGTACCTAGCGTCGGATATTGTGTTGTCTAAACCCGAAACGGGTGAAACTCTGTATCTATACCTAGGAATTTCCCCAAATGCTGTAAGCTCTGTTTTAATAAGGGATGATGGGGCACAGAAGCCCGTTTATTATGTGAGCAAAGCACTAAACGGAGCTGAGAGTAGATATACGGCGATGGAAAAGACAGCCTACGCACTTTTCGTCTCCGCGAAAAAGTTAACATCCTACTTCCAAGCTCACCCGGTAGAAGTCTTAACTGACCAACCGCTGGGTGCAGTATTGCGAAATTCGACATCCTCCGGGAGGATGGTGAAGTGGGCAATGATGTTAACTCAATTCAATATTGAATATCGACCAAGGTCAGCAATCAAGGGGCAGGCCCTAGCTGACTTCCTTGTAGAAATGACCGGTCTAACTCCAGACTTACCGGTCAACAAGCCCACTGAGCAATGGTGGGAGATGGCAGTTGACGGGGCATCCGGTCCTAGAGGATACGGGGGTGGTGTCGTGTTCACCACCCCAGAAGGATTCAAGATCTACCATGCAATCATCTTCAACTTCAAACTGACGAACAACGAGGCAGAATATGAAGCTCTGGCTGGAGGGCTCAGACTTGCCCAAGCCCTGAAAATTAGCCGGGTCAGTATCAAATCTGACTCTAGCCTGATAGTAGGCCAGGTGACCGGTAACATGGAAGCAAGGGAAGGACGCATGGCACAATACAAGGACCTTATACTTGCCCTGTTAAAGGGCTTCGAAGAATTCAAGATCGCCCAAATTCCCCGGGCAGAGAACGTGGATGCAGACCTTCTCTCCAAGCTAACGCAGTACGCTCCCGAGCATGTTTCGAAACTTGCCCGGGTGGAGATCCTTGACCGGTCAAGCATCGATAAATTGGAAGTCGGCGCTGTAACTCCCGGAAGCCAATTTGACCGGTCAAACTTGGTTGGGGCGGACGACCATTGGATGAGTGATCTGATGGAATATTTGATGGATGGGAGCTTGCCGGAACAAGATGACCGGGCAAGAAAAGTGAAGCTCAGGGCACCCCGATTCCAGATTCTTGATGGAAAGCTGTATAAGAAGGCATTGGGGGGGGCCACTCCTGAGATGTCTAACCAACCGGGAGGCTGAGCGAGTCATTGCAGAGGTCCACGAAGGTGTGTGCGCGGCGCATCAAATGTCACGCACGCTTTCCCAACGCATTATCTTGTTGGGGTATTACTGGCCAACAATTGTCCAGGATTGCGAGAGGTATGTGCAGAAATGTAGAACATGTCAAGTGTTCTATAAGTACCCCGGCAGACCAGCGACCTACTATCACCCCGTATCGAATGTCATCCCATTCGCTAGATTCAGGGTTGATATCATTGGGGCATTCCCAGTCGCCCATGGAGGGAAGAAATTCGTAATCGTAGCCATCGATTACTTCACCAAGTGGATCGAGGCCGAAGCGTTGGCCAGCATTACCACGCAACAATGCAAGAAATTCATTTGGAAGAACATCATCACGAGGTTTGGAGCGCCCATAAACCTCATCACCGACAACGGCCCTCAATTCCGAAATCCAAGATTCACTGAATACTTGGAGGGCTTCGGGATAAAGCACAATCGTTCCTCGGTAGCGTACCCCCAGGGGAATGGCCAAGTGGAAAACGCCAACCGAACGATTGTGGATGGTCTGAAGAAACGGCTGGGAGAAGCGGGGAACAAATGGCTGGAAGAGCTCCCACACATCGTATGGGCATTCCGAGTAACACCCAGGAGGGCTCACGGGGAAACTCCATTCTCCCTAACCTATGGGTGTGAAGCGAGGCTGCCCATCGAAGCTGAATTCCCCACGTTTCGGGAGTCAAATTATCAACCCGAGCGGAATGAGGAAGACCACTTGGCCGAACTCAACTTGGTCGAAGAACGGAGAATGGCCGCAGAAGTCAAAATGACCGCATACCAACAAGTGGTGAAGAAGTACCATGATAACAAGGTTGGGCCGCGGTATTTCCAGGTTGGGGATGAAGTCCTACGAAGAAGAGAAGCAAGTAGGCCCGGCGACGGAGGAAAGCTAGCAAAAAACTGGGAAGGCCCGTATAGGGTTAGAGCCCTTGTTCGCCCAGGAACCTACCAGTTAGAAACTCTTGAAGGGGTACCGGTAGAAAGAACTTGGAATTCCCATCATCTTCGCAAGTTCTACAAATGATTGTAATACTAGGCAAGGCCTACTTTATTAACAAGCGAATCGATGATGTTCAATACCCTGTTTGGTAGCGGCAGGATTGATAGGTCGAACCTATCCTAGGAGTGCTTCCTGGGTGGATCGAATCCACTTGGTTAAGCCAACTGAGACACAGGCCCGGACCTGGCACGCTGGTTACTACACCGGTCTTGCTCAGTATGATAGAAAAAATATCAAAACCCGGAAGAGGGGCCCGGAAGAGGGTATGCCTGCAAGAGGGCTGGACCTGGAAGAGGGTTCGAACCGTACTTACGCGGGCCCATGAGGTTTGACTGATGTCGGGGAATCAGCCGGCGCCGTCAGGCTGATTGGGGACTAAAAAGATGCCCATTAAAAGAAATAGAAAGGGATCGTCCACCGTGGCGCATCCTTTATCCCCCTTCTCAGGGAAGACTTGAACGGGGGGGTGAGCTAAGGCCTTCCCGGGATGGTAGAAATCAAAGGGCCATTAAAAGACTTAATCGCCCGGAAGAGGGGGCCCTGGAAGAAGGGTGCACTTGAGCCTTGGAGAGGGTTCGAGACCATTCGACATGGTTAAATCTCCAGTATTCTTACCGGTTAAGGATACTTCATGAATTTCTAGGTTACAGGTGCTTCCATCTACAACCTACTAAAAAAAAAAAAAAAGGATACCCCGGTCGGGTATGGGCACGACAGAACTTCGAAAGTTCTACGTCCGCCGGAAGGCAAGGCACTTGACCGGTCAAACCATGGCGTGGGAAATTACCGGTCAAAGTAAGTTTTGTTGAAAGAATTGGTGAAGCAATCCAAAAGGGCAAAGGTAAATTGAGGCCGGTCAAACTCTTTTAAAGTGGGGGTCTGACCGGTCAAAGTTACTTGAGATAATCCTTCAGATGAAGACGTTCGAAGAGCAAAAAATGGGGGTCTGACCGGTCAAAGTTACTTGAGACAATCCTTCAGATAAAGTAATCATAGAAAACCTTGAAGTTTCCACCGGTCGAAAACGATGGAGAAGTGGCCTAATTTATATACCGGTCAGAAATTTCTATGATGATATTTTAAGGAGCGAGATCAAAAAAGTAAATCAAACAAGCAATCAGGAGTGGAAGATTAACCGGTACGAAAAGAAAACATGGCATTCGAAGGAAATAAGAATGTTAAATGTTTTACATTTACACCGGGCATTCCCGGGAAAATAAGGTTTTAAGTTTACAAAGCAACCGGCCAAGGCCGGGGAGTTCTTAATCTAGGGGAAAGGGGGGAGTAGGCTCTTCCTCCGGGATGGATGCCAGGCCGTAAGAAGCTGCGGAGAACTCTGGGTCTCTTTTCTTCAAGATCCGGTGGCAGGCAGCCCGGTCCTTCTTCTGACCACTCTTGAATCCAAAGGACCCAATGGCGGTAATCATCTTCTTTCCTTCAGGCTCCCGGTACAAGAGCCTGAAGGATTCCATGGTCGCTTCCGGGCTAGCCGTCATCACCCGGGCAGCTTCAGCCTTATTCTCTTCCACCCAGGCAGCTGCGTGCCCGGGGAAGGTTTCTTACTTCTCCGCCAGCTCCCTCTTGGCTTCAGAGACTTCGCCCAGAAGCTGGCCGTTCTCCTTTTTCAGCTGGGAGATCTCAGTCTTCATTGCCCCGGCCAGCCCAGAAAGCCGGATCAGCTCTTCAGCTTGGCTCCTCAGGAGGAGGGCCATCTCCTCCTTCTCCTCCTTCAGCCGGGCAATCTCGGAGGGAGAGCCCAAACCAAGCCGGTCGGCTGTGAGGGGTCCAATCTCCCCCGCCTGCACAAAAGGAAGAAAAAGCCCGGTTAAAATGCGATAACAAGGACAAAGGATCGAGACCGGGATACCAGCGGAACTCACCTCCTTCAGCCTCAATCCAAGGTTGACGAAGGCCTCCTCGACGGTCTGGCCGGCCGGCTTAGGATCTGACCGGGCTCTCTTCTTGGCATAGGAGGGGTGCGTGGTCGCCACCTTTTTCACCCGGCGGCCGGCCTTCTCCTTCTCCTTCCCCTTAGACCGGTCGTCTCGGGGTTCATCCTCGTCCAGGATTTCCACGGTCTCTGGATTGACCGGGAAAGTCCTGGCAGGATTGGCTTGGGAGCCCCCGGTCTCCCCCGCTGGTTGATCTTCGGGGATGGCGAATTCTTCGAACTCCATATCTACAAAACAAACTAAAACCATTAAGTACGAATACTTTGGCCGGTCAACTGCGAATCAAAAAAAAATGTGAAATACCTGGGTGGGAGTTGCCCTCAGCCTCCGCAGTGTTGCCCGGGGAGGGTACCCCGCGCCCCGCTGCTTCATGGGCCTGGGAGGTACCCTCACCACCCGAATCCACCCTCCAAACCCAGCTGCCTTGATGGAAGATCCTCCCGGTTTGAGGATCCCCGCGCATGAGGATCTCGAGACTGGCTTCCAAGTCTGGGGAGGAGGCCGGTGCAGCATACTCTTGGTCAAGGAGATGGTCGTTCCATTTCAGACCGGCCAGAGGAGTAAAGAAGGGGGGAAACTCAATGAAAACAAATTTTTCCTTCCATCCCCGGTTACTCTGGGGGACTTCGGAAATGAATTTCCTACCGGTGCGGGCTTTGAAGAATACAAAACCTTCGCAGCCGGATCCGCCCGGTAGGACTTCGAAACAGAAAAGGAAAAGACGCAAAGAGGGGAAGATTTCCAGATGGGTGCAAATATTTACGAAAGAATGAAGATACCGGTGGCCGTTAGGAGTTATTTGGCCGGGCAAAATCCTAAACGCGTGGCATACTTCAGTAAGGAGGGGGCGAGGGGGAAAAACTATGCCCGCATCCAGGGAAATAGTATGGAACCCTATCCTATCCTCCCGGTGGGGCTCTACGATATTGGGCCAGTTGGGTTCGTAGAGGAGGGTATACCCATCCGGGAGCCTCCTACGAATTTTGTTCAGGGCGATTTTGGATACGCGTGAAGGGATGTCAAGAACATAAAAGGTGGGGAGTGGGAAGTAACCGGCAGCATGGAGCCGCGCCTCCCACGCATCCCGGGTTTCGTTTTCGGGATCATAGGGACCCGGTTCATCATCAACCGGGTCAACCCTCCCCACAAAAGTTTCACCGGGCACCTGATTTACAGGGTGCGGGTCGGGAATGGAAGAGTTGGGAACCTGACCGGGCGAAGAGTTCAAAGAAGAAGACCCGGTCGAGGAAGAAGAGTTGAAGTTCTCAGAGGAGCAGTCCTCTGAGGAAGAGACCCTATCGCTAACAGGAGACATGGCCGGGAAAAGTACAGAAGGAGAGGGGGACTTACTTGACTCGGAGGGCTGGAAAAGAAACTTGACCGGTGAAAGCTCTGAATACTTGATCGCGGAAAGTGAACAAAGGAGATGGGGTGAAGACCTTTATATAGGAGGAGAGGAGACCAGAGGGAGCAACGTGGCCACGCGAGGACACGCCGCGTCAGACGGCGCAATGATGACCCGCTGGCAGGCGAAACGGCAGGTCTGCAGCCGACTGATTGCAACGGTTGGTGCGCGACACGTGGCAAAAGTCAGAGTTTGAAATTCGAATTTCAAAAATTTTTAGGCGGGAAGGGACGAAATTTCAAAATTGGAGTCCTACTTCAGACTTTTTACTTCCCGCTCATGACAAATTGCACGATCGAGAAGTGGAGGGCTTATTGATGGGTGTATCCCACCCAAGACCGGTCAAGGGAGAAGGTCCAATCTTTGACCGGTCAATCTAGAAAGATTTGAAAGGGAGACTTAAATCGTCAGCAGAACGATATGTCATCGGCCAAAATTTGACCGGTACACTTCACAAAAAAGTATACCGGTCAAATTACGTTGTCGTCCTGTTTGTTCCAGACTTCGATAAATCCACCCCTCGGAGATTACCCGGTGTAATTTCTGAGGTTGGAAAGTGTCGGCAGAAGATGATCTGCGAGGGTTTGGCGTGTAGCAACCCGTGTCAGTAGAGGACAACTGGAGATGCTGAAGAATCCATCCAAGGCACTACTTGACAAAGGGAATGATCCCCTTC